TTTTTATTCTTAATTGCAATTACGAATTAAATGGAGCCCTCCGGATTTGCATCCGCAAGGTCATTCTCCATATTGTACATATTTTTTAAAAAGTATATCCTCGAATGCACAGTACGTGATAGAATTTCGGTATGCTGATTCCCGACTATTATAAAACGTAAAGCAAGTACCTATTCACCAAATAGTGCACTGGATGTTGCTAAGAGCTTACAGAAAGCCAAGAACTCCATAAGTGTAATTCATCAAAATGTGCAATCGATCGGAAAATCGGTGGAACAAATTAATTATATGTTGAAGGATCATCCGGAGTGCAAGATACTATGTGTGTCTGAACATTGGAAATCAGAAGAACAACTAATGAACCATAAAATTCAGGACTTTAATTTAGTGTCAATGTTTTGTCGAAATGAGGGAAAACATAGGGGCTCAGCTATATACTGCAGAAAGGGACTAGAAGGTACCAAATGAACAAAAATTAATAGAACTTCTGTAAGTGGCGTTTTTGAATGTTCTGCCTTTGAATGTAGTTTTGGTAAGATAAAGACAATATTTATTTCCATATATAGACCTCCATTGGGAGATATTAACATTTTCTTGAATAAGACTGAATCTTTGTTAATTGAAGTATTTAAAGAAAGCAAGTTACTAGTCATAACAGGTGATTTTAATATTGAACTTTTGCAAGAGAATAGAATAAGAACTGAATTACTCTCCATTATGAAATCTTTTAATCTAAGTTTAACTGTCTTGGAAAACACACGAATATCAAACAGGAGCGCAAGCTGCATTGATAATATATTCACAAATTTCCTGGTGCACACTGCACAAAAGATTGTCTTTGAAGTAAACAAAATATCGAAATCCTTTTCAAAATACAGAAGGTGTTTTAATACAGAAAATAAACAAAGTTTTGTAAGTAGCCTAAAAGAACAAAATTGGTTAGATATATATAACAGTGAAAGAGAGGATGTGAATCAACAGTGGAATCTTTTTATGAATATTGTCAAAGGCCTATTCAATCAAAGTTTCCCTCGAAAATTAGTCAGCAAAAAAACAAAGAAACCTCAAATAAAAGTACATACCGATACAGAGATCTTAGAATGTAAACGTCGGCTAGACATTTTATTAATACTTTCTAGAAATAATCAACACCATAAGATTTTATATAATGAACAGAAAAAAATATATGATAAAATGCTAATACCATTATGAACTAAAGAATTTGAAAAGCAAGTAAGAAACTCGGGTTTGTTGCCCAGTTTTTCAAAAATCTTTGAAATAGCAATAAGTAATAGACTAACTAATTTTCTAAAGGAAGGCAACATTTTTAACCAGTGCCAGCATGGTTTTTTGAAGAATAAATCGCCACAAACAGCAATATTTGAACTCATTAAACATATTTTATTTCACATAACATTCAAAATGGAGAATTGGTGCTTGGTATGTTGCTCGACCTATCAGAGGCTTATGACTGTCTGGATAGGGAAATACTACTCAAGAAATTAGAACTGTATGGAGTCAGAGGTAATACAATGAACAACATATAATAAGACAATGCGTCAGCATAACAAAAGAAGGGAAGACCGAGCAGTCAAAAGTGTTAAATAATGCAATAGGCATAGCTCAGGGCAGTATGTTGGGTCCAATTCTGTTCATAATCTTTGTGAATGACCTACCCCTTTTAATGAACAAGCCCTATCAACATATTGTGAAATATGCAGACGACACAAACCTACTTATTGGTATGAAAAAAAATGCCAGAGTTACTAACCCAGTCACAATATTTTTTTGATCAAGTTACAGAATGGTTCAATAAAAATAGATTAATATTAAATAAAGAAAAAACAAATATTGTAATGTTTAGAACAAAACAGTCTACAGCAGCAAAGCCACAAACTATAGAACTGAATAATAAAGAAGTGGAACTATCAAACAATGCAAAGTTTTTAGGCATTAATATTGACGAGAATTTAAATTGGTCACACCATATCAACATTTTAATTAAAAAATTGAACTCAATCAATATGCTACGGGATAAGGGTCATTGGCAAATATATGAATGAGAGGACACTCAGAATGCTGTACTTTGCAAATTTTGAATCCGTTTTAAGGTATTATTTTCTGGGGAAGGGATAGTCTAATGCAAAGCGTTTTTGTAGTTCAAAAAAGGTTGATAAGAGTAATCACTAACAGTGGGTACTTGGAGAGTTGCAAGACAAAACTTAAAAATCTAGGAATAATGACCCTATATGGAATCTATATTTATGAATGTCTAATGTTCTTTTTTAAATACAAAGACAGTTTTGATATTGGCCAACAATGTAACTACAACACGCGAACCTTGGATGTTAGCTACCCATTACATAGGCTTACATTAACAGAAAAATGTCCTCATTATATGTGCCTAAAATTGTTCAATGCTCTGCCAGAAAATATGAAAAAAATAAAATCCCAAAAAATATTCAAACGAGAAATCAAAAAACTGTTATTTGACCTAGAACCCTATAATTTAAGAGAATTTTGTAGAGACCTTTAACTTAATGTACCTATACCTATGTACTTGTATGTATGACATCATTTCTTTCTTTGTTGCACTTGTAATGATGATTTTGAAAAAAAGTTTGTTATTATTATTAATATTATTATATTGCCTCTAGGACCTCACGTCGAGAGTTGTTTAGCCTTCCTTCTCATAGGACCAATTATGGCATTAATATGCCCATAGATATGATGTGTAAGATTGCCAACCTAGTGTTACAAAAAAATAAAGGCATTGATATTTTCAACTGTGATTCTAAGACCGTCTGTAGGCAATCTAAATATATTTTACTTAAGTATTGATAGCCGTATGCAACATCCTCTTTTAACTTAAAAATGTTTTTAAAACTGGTCGCTTTTAAAAATTTGTATTCTAAGCAATACAATTTTTTGAAAGTGACCAGTTTTAAAAAGCGATTTTAAGTTAAAAGAGGATGATGTATACGGCAGTAGTTTTTGTATATTTCACTTTTAAGTTTTAAATTTTATTTATGTATTTTTTAATTTTAATATTCATGGAACGGTCAGTTCGTCATCTTGCTCTTGTTGTTTCTGTTATGTGAGTGTATTTCATTGCAGATTTGTGTTTTGTTTTCATATAGGTACCTATTAACAAGCAGAAAATTTTCTAGTTCTATTTAAATTTTTTTAATTATCTGTGAATGCTACATTCGTGAATAAAGATTTTGATTTGATTTAATCACGCAGCTTTAAAATGGCTTTTAGAAATGAAAAATCCTGAAGGACAGCTTGCTAGATGGATTGAGAAATTGCAGCAATACGATTTCCAAATTCAACATCGACCTGGAAACCTGCATATAAATGCTGACGCTCTGTCTAATCGGCCATGCAAAAAAGACTGCAAACATTGTCAAAAAATCGACATGCATGAGAAAAACACTGGTCTGGTTATGAGAAGAACGGGTCTGATCGTTGATGATAAATGGACTACCAAACAAATGAGAGCAGATCAAGAAGCAGATCAGGACATTGGACAATTTCTACATCTTTAAGAAAATGATGAATGTAGGCCAGAATGGAGGAAAGTGTTGAACAAGATTTTGATTCACAAGGCGTTGTGGGCTCAGTGGAACTCTCTGGCCGTAGAAAATGGTTTAGGTACTGAAAAGAATTTGGGAAAGTGCCGATGAAAAATCTACTGAGAGCCAACTGGTTATTCCAAAAGATTGAGTAGAGGATGTATTAAAAGAAATACATGACGGAACTTCAGGGACACATTTTGGAATTAGCAAGACTTTGGACAAAACTCGAGAACGTTGTTTTTACTGGGTTCACTATTAACTGGTGCCGAAAATGCGACATCTGTGCTACCCGTAAAGGCCCTAAACTATGATCTCGAGAGCCCATGAAACATGAAACAGTACAACGTCGGTCTCCCATTTGAAAGAATAGCCATAGATGTAGTGAAACAGGTGAAAATCCAACTAGAATGACCGTAAACTAATTTTGACATAGCATAGCGTTACGGTAAGGCATCCGCTAACTCCCGTTAGGTAGCGGGCGGCTCCGCTAACGCTAATACCATAAGAACTGTCATACTTGTCAAATAACATTACGGTATTTGAAATTTGGACAGCACGAGAACTCTCTAATATCTGAATTATTCTGAATTGTATGTTTTGGAGTGACTCCGAGGAGCTCTAGAGCGACACGTTCGGTGTAACTCGATGTATAAAAGGAATACAGTAACTGTTTGAGTTAATTAGTGAAGTAATTAGTGACAGAGTGTCTAGTAACGTGAAATAAATTATCGTTGTATCAATTGGACTTTGATTTTTTGGAATAAACGGACCCAAGATTTCTGTCACGCATACCAGAGCCGTGACATTATCATTTTTTTTAGATATATGTTATCAATATTGTATACAGAGATAGCAGATTTGGAATCCGTTGAGACCACGGAGTCGTCTAGCAACCTTGCAACACTGTCCGATGACTTGACAATTCGAGAATGGAATTTCACCGCGCAAAAGTCCATCGCATCAAATAAATTCCTCATGTTTTTTAAGTAAACAGGATTGGTGCCAAAATAGCAATTTTCAAATATTGCGTTATTGCCTCTAGCGTATAAATATTAACAAATCTGAGACATGAATCACTTTTTATAATTGAGGGTGATACACGCTATCAGACAGTCGCGCATGTTATTCTTAGCACTCCCATATCAATATTATCACAACAAAAACCACAATTACTGTTATTTTGAGTAAATACTCACATGCTGTTGTTATCGAAATAAAAAATAAACGCAAAATTAGTAATTCTCACTGATAAAAAAAACAGTTTAGTGGGAAACAGATAACATTTTTTTCCTCAGAGCTTTTATGAAAAACTCTTTTTTTTGTACTAATTGTTCAAAAGTTTGACTTGAAAAACAATTATGGTTACTGTTAGAATAGTCACTCACAGACATTACAAAACAACACCAACAACCCCCAAACCTGATCTGTATAAACAGGGTAACTGGTTGTTTAAATCTATACGGTGGTACCCTGGTTTAGCTAGAAGAATATACAGTAAATATACATAAAATTACAGTTGTCTTTTTGAAAACGGACATAAAATAATGACAACGTAAACTTACGTGGTCTTGTGGGTACATCTACTGGTTCTTCAAGTATTTTAAGCTCCACCTCCAACTTGCTTATTTCTGTGTAATTGTGTTGCATTAGTTTCATTATTTTCTTTATAAAACCCACATAATCTAAAAATAGACAGGATATAGTCAGGTTCCATCGCAAAAATACACAGCTTCCGTTTCCGTACCTCGTGGAAATTCTTTTGGGCTGACTAGTTCTCTGAAGAAATCTTGTGCTACGCCTGCTTGATTTTCCTCGCACAAATTGTCTTGGCAGTTTTTGGGGGCTCGGAACCAGAATCTCAGGGTTCGGGATTCCTGTGTGTGCTTTTTTGTTTGGGCGTTTATAAGGAATACTTTAAATACTAGGGAGAGTTGAGCTGCTGTATGTGCGTCACCGTTTTCTGGAAAAGAACATAGATTTGGAAAATTTGATGGATGGAATCCAAATTTCTGGAAATGGATTCTACAAAATTTAAAAATTATTAACTTATTTTAAGTCGGTTTCTAGTGTACCATTTATGAACTAATTTTTGAAAATATTACATATTTTTATATTTCTCACCTACAGCTGCCTCTTTATTAATTATAATTCCAGTGTGTTGTCCACCGGCTACGTGCATTTTTTCATTAGTCTTTTGTATTAGTTTTCGTTCGATCATGATCGTTGTAGAGGTTCCAGTTTTTCCTTTTGGAGTCATTACCACCTGTTCAGTAGCTGATTCAGTCATTTTGATTCAAGAATTTCTGTGTGTGTGTGTTCAAATTAATACTATCTAAAACAAAACAAGAAATAATAATGAAAATATTATTCTACTTTATAGACAAAGAATAATCGTTGCCTTGAAACACTTGTACAAAAACAGAATGTAGTTCACCTGTATCAAATCAATCAAGTAAATGAGTGAAAGTAAACAAGGAAAAATCGATTAGTTATAAATGCATATGGCGATGATGCTTTTCAATAATTGAAGCTAAAGACATATCATATATTTCATTAATAGATTTTGCAGACACAAATCTAATATAAAATCGAGCAGGCCTCACAGTCGCGGTTACAAAAATCTATGAAAACTAAGAACCGGATTAATGATGTCAATATCAACAAAATGACATTGAATTTAATAGCACATTAGAAATTAGCAAGTTTATATTGTCAGTTTTATAAATAGAAATTTGTATCGGATTGCTGCTTCCTAATTAAGAATGTGGGTTTATTTTTTTATTGACAATAAATTCTAGACACCATGTGATCTTGGCTTAATATGAAAATATCTGTATTTTCATTCCTAAAACATCATCAAGAATTGCCACCCCATCTTTGAAAGTAAATTTCTATTTTAAACTCTTCACCCTTTTCAGCGAAAGACACATAAACGATGCCGGTTTTGGTTTCAATACACAAAGTAATTCGTTGTATATTTTTTCATAAAGCATTTAACATGCTCATTAATATTACATAAATGAATTACTCTTTTAAGTGCCGTATTGCAATGCTGATATTATCTTAATGTATATTTTCAGTTCTATAAGGTCACACAAAAGAAGGATTCATTCTAGAAAAATTCAACATCAATTTTCAAGGCTTGAACTTTTCCATTTAAATTAATGAGAAAACTTCTTCAAGCTGTCAAGCTGTTATCTTTTTGTGGCATTACTTTGATCACTCTCTCGCAGTCTACACAAGAAATAAAAAAAAATCCAAGCATTTGTGGACCGAAGTTATTTCGAACCCAGCCACATTTATCCACAAAAAGGTAAATATTTTGATTACATTTTGGTTGGAGCTCATTAACCTATAATTTCTTATCCGAATCATTAAAATTTGGTTTAAAAATACAACCTTATACTAATTATGGTTAACTAATTCGTAACTGGATATAATTTTATATGGTTCTTGAAACGCAAACATTTTCTATTCAGCAAACTATTAATTACTCGGTTACTTTCATCACTTTCTTTCGCCGGCTAAATGAACAGTGTTACTTTGTCGCAATATAAAACAAAGACTTGCAATTCTTGTGTAATTATAAGGAAATGTTTTTGCGAAATGTATAGCTTCATTGTTGTTTTAGAAGAGTTCTTTGTTTATAGCATCTTTTCCTTTTATCTAACTGATACAAGGCTATGTATGCACATTTACTAGATTGTAACGTTTTCAAACATTGAAATTTATATACACTTTTAGTAACACACACTTGAAAACTGACTTAAAACTCGTGAATTCGGTTAGTACTTGAAAAAAATATTTACACTAATAAAAACATATTTATAAATCTGGAAACCATTTTAAATTAGTGGCATTAAGTGCCTGACTCATACATGTATTTTTCAGCATGTTTTAAAAAAATTAAGAAAAACCTTTAAGAGTGGTTGGTTTATATACCTGAATATCTCCAAAGAATCCAAAGTTCTGGATGAATTGACAGAGCTCCGCTTGGTTTTCACAAAAAATAAACTGATATGTACATTTATTTTCCGACAGTATGTATAGAAATATTCAAATCATAGATATAACGTAATGGGGCTATTGATCTATTAAATTTAACCCCATTTCTGGTGGCATTTGTATGAATAACTTTGATATTTTTGTGCCATGCTGTGCCTCTTCTAATAATCGATTTTTGCCACCTTCCACTAAAATTCGCAGCAAATTTAGTTTTAATACCTAATAGGAATACAATAATACGCTGGTAGGTAGGTACTACGAAGAAAAGCAAAAAGTTCTATGAAGAATTATTGCACACACCTACATAAATAAAGTGACTTTTTCAGAATCGGTGAAAATCTGGTTATTTTCTGAAAAGCTTGTTTTATAATTAGACACGTTCCTTTAAGGCAATTAGTTGGAAATGTAAGACTGAATTCAAGCTAAAATAGGAAAAGAAAACCATGAATTTGTAAGTATGTATCAAATAACATTGCGCAGTGAAATGTTGCACCTAAGCATCTTTTACTTTAGTAAAAAAACGGGCAAAATTCAATGAAAATGTTTCAGATTCATTAATTTTTTTAAATAGGCAAAGGTCTGGAGAAAATTTTTCATCCATTTAACCATGGTTTCGCATAGGAAAGAATCTCCGATTATTCCACCTTTGGTTGAAAGAAGGGTGTTTTTTTTTTTCACATAGACCTTTAAATATAAGATTGCTTATTATGCATACTTGGTTTACTGTAGTCAAAATAATATCGCCCTCACCTGGAGCTTTGCTTTCCTCACTTAAAAAAAGCAAAATGGGAAAATTTAAAATTAAAACCACTTTTTATTACCCAACAAGACGCTATTCCACCCACTTGAAAAGCTCCACATCTAACCCTGAATAATTTAAGAGGTCATACTCTCATTAAACGGTGAAAACCATTAAAAACCAAAGCTGCCAGACTGTTGAAATCTAAATAAAGAGGCCAAGTGATACATGAAACTGTTTAAAATTAAATCGACTGATTTAAATGCACTCTGCACCATTGATCGGGAAAATAAGAGCGGAAATGCTATATTTATCGGGCCAAAGCACAAATAAACAAGTAAATTACTCACTTATTGGCTCAATTTGGGGTGTGGACTACTATAACAGGATATCGTATATTCAAGAGATTTATGTAGCTGAATTTTTGTACAAGTTTATTTAGGAAATAGGTATCTGCGTCAAAAAATATCATAGTTTGCCATATTCCTGACACATGAAAGTGGTATATTCATCCAATAGAGCATAGCACTGTATTATATGTTTATTGAGGCCAGTGCTCCTATGTACTGATACTGATTAGAGAATGATTATTATTATGCGAAATATGTATTGTAAAAGAAAGAGTACTGTAATAACAAAGGTTTTTTAGAAAAATACATATACATACATTTTCAACAAAACCAACTCAAACTTATCTACATCAATAGGCACTTTATCTTATTTATGTACTTTCATTGTACTAATTGAATAATCACTTATTGCATTTACTCAAGTTTATACAAAAATTGTCGAATTTAAATTCACTAACTTACAAACTACGCGCTTTATATACGTAGAAAATCATTTATTCAAGAAATCCTTGCTTATTTCATTTAAATCCCACAAATGAACGAATTCCCGAATATTCACGCTTGGGCCATCCATAAGAGTGACGACTATCAAGTTAATGTCTTTTGCAAAACTATTTTTGTTGTAACAACACAATGTTACTGAAATGAGTTTTCTCGGTGTAGTGTCTCTAGACTAGAATATAACTAACTATAATATTCCCACCAACTTCTTGTCTTGGTTTGCTGTCCCGTATATATCATTTCCTAGAAAAGTGTCACAATTTTATCAATGAAGTACTTGAACATTTCAAAAAATATGTTTGGCAATAATTATTTATTTAGTAGGTACCTAATCAGTAAATCACTATGATCCTGAATATTGTAGATATCCATGTTTGAGAATTGCAGTATTTATAGAAGCCAGAACATAAAGAAATCGTTAAATTGGCCCTCTAAAAAATAGTTAAGGACAAAACTTGGAACAATAATAGGGCGGATAGTTGGAAAAATGAATCAAGAATCGATGAAAATTTAAACCAAACAAATGTTGCATATTCCATGAATAACCCAATTTTGAAGTGACCACAATGCAACCGCTTGTGAACTGGTCGATAAATGGAACACATTCACAGTTAAAGTATAGAATTTTGTTGTTTTTCCCGTTTCCATAAATAAATTCGGCAACCAGCAACAAAAAGTTCTAGTATTTTCCCTTGGTAGGAACATGCGTTTTTTCTTGGTCTTTCAAATTTTAAGTTTTTTACTTTGAGGTTGACTTGCTTTATTCAATTTGTCATATTATTATAGTGATAAATCTCGCCAAAATTAAAATAAAAAAGTTTCCATAAACTTATGCTTTAGAATGTATTTTAAGAAAGTTAAAAGCCTTTGCATCTGGGGTGAAAAATGCTGATTTTCAGCAAAAGTTGTGAAGTAATTATTTAGTTTCGAAATTTGTGCGTTTAAAAAGTATTGATTTTTTTAAAGTAGAACACAGGTCTCTTCTCACCATTCTTCATTTTTATGTATGACTAGTTTCGAAATCCAAAGTTACATCCCATCCTCGTCCTCATTGAAAAGGAGCGAAAACATACCAATGAATTTACTATAAAGAAGGGAACTATTCTGTATCCCTACAATCATTATTATTGAAATATAAACTTGTGATTTATATTCCAAGAAAAAAACTAAAATTTGTCATAACTGAATAAAATAGATTTGTCTCTCGACATGCTTTTGCTCATCTAAAATTTTGCCCCCGTCTAAAATTTTGAATTTGTATTTAGTAATTTTCTACAAAGTGGTACAAAACTTCCTGTGCGTTCGTCAGTAGCTTGTTTAAACTTCAGTATCAGTACATGGTTTTTGAATTATATTCCCAAACTTAATATTTTAGGTAGGTTTTGAGTGTGTTGCTCCAAAAAAGTGTCTTTCTCGGTGTCTCAGAGAGGTTTGGTTGAGGGCTGCCAGAGGATATCTGCAGGATGGAGTTCTATCTCCTCTACTTTGGCCCAAAGTTTCTGGGCCCTGCTAGTGAACGATTTGCTGACTTGCAACTCTCAAAGCATTAGGAGTTGAAGTCCAAGCATGTGCAGAGGTCAGGGTGTTTGGGTGTTTCCTCATATTTTGATCTCTACCTTCAGCTTTAGCTATAAGAGGTGGAAAAAAACTTTAAATATGAAAGTTGTACAGTTTTATCGGTAGTACATTTTGGCGCTTCTAGAACAAACCAATGCAAATCGCAAAATTCTAATAAAA